AGGAAGGAGGGAAGGAAGGAAGGAGGGAAGGAAGGAGGGAAGGAAGGAGGGAAGGAAGGAAGGAAGGAGGGAAGGAAGGAAGGAAGGAGGGAAGAAGCGACCGGCCCCCCCCGCACTCACCCAGCCCCGCGGCCTCCGCGTTGAAGGCGACGCCGGTCACCGCCGCTCTGTGGCCTCGGAAAGGCCGGATCAAGACGGGGTCCTCCTGGGGAGAGGATGCGCACCGTCAGGCTCCGGGGACGGGGTGAGGGCCGGCGGTCCTCCCCTCACCCCCGGAGCCGCGAAGGGCCCCCCACGGCCGGGCCGGGCCCTCACCAGCGCGGAGGCCATGGAGCCGGGCCGGAGCGGCGGCCCCTCAAACCCCCCGCGCTCCAGGCGCGTCCAACCGAACCCCGAATTCATCCGCGGCGCCAAGCCCCGCGTGTTACCGGTCCGCCCACGAAGGCGGGCCGGCCAATCCGCCAAGGGGCTGGGCGGGGCGGCAGGGGCGCCTATCGGTGGTGTAGGTGCTCGACTCCTTCTTAAAGGCGTAGAGCCGCGGCGCCCTTCGCGGCGCCTGGTTACCTCAGCGGCGGGCGGGAATTCACCGCACCGGAGCGGCGAGGCCCGGAGCCGCCTTCCCGGCCGGACCCGGGTAATTAAAGTCTCCCGCCTCGGTCAGGACACCGCGGCTTGCTGCTGGGAGAGGTTGAGCCGCCGAGGGAGCGCGGACCGGTGGGTGCCGGAGCAGGAGGCGGGAAACTGGACCTGAGGGTTATTATTTAAAATAAACAACGACGACGGAGCCTTTCGGGGTTTCCCCGTCAGCGCTTGTGCTTGTGTCATACAGAGCTGTCTTTAAACAGGCCTTGAGTGCTCTAAAATCGCCCAGCTACCTTTATAAAGTAAAATAAAACCCACCCCCACACCAACACCACAGAAGTGTCGGCGTTAGCGCTGCCAATGTCGATGCAGCTTCGTGGTAAGGGAACCGACCTCACCGAGAAAACACGGCTCCCGCCGCGGTGCTGGTGAAGCGAGAGTTCACCTCGATTAGCAAAAGGGAGGGATGCGATAGCAACAGAAGCGTTCCTGAAGAAGGAGCTTACGCTGCAATTACCCTCTTTTTTTTTTTTTCTAAATCCGGTCTGCATTTTACAGAGTTTCGTCTGACATTAAACTCTTACATCTACAGAATCGGGTCAGTAATTAGGCCAACATGTAAGATTCGTCGGGTATAGGACAGTTCCAAATCAATTGCGTTTAACCGTGAAACGCACATTTAAAATAATAACTTTAAAAGTGCTAAAAAAAAAAGCAGGATTATCATAAGTAGGTAGGAAGGTTTCCGTGAAAAATCTGCTAGCCACTCCTTGCATTGATGTTATGCAGGCTAATAATTTGCCTTCACAGCTTCAGAACATAAAAAATTCCCCGCTGCGGTCTGGGAGAGCTCAAAGGGTCTCACTCAGTACCACTGCTTACAGTTCAGGAGATGAGTGCCTTTAGTCATTAGCAAATTACTGGGATTCCAGCTGCGCTGGTACTGTTTCACATCAGCGATGACTCAGATAAGGAAGGCTCCAAGGCTGTCAGGGAGTGACTTGAGATTGAGATACGGGATGCTCCAAGATTGTCAGGAGGGGACTGGGATATGTCTCAAGGTTGTTATGAAAGTACTAGTTATCTCTACTTTTGTTTTTTGTTTTTGCCGGGCAACAGGAGTCCTTGAGACAGTCCACATGGCTTGCTGTCTTAGCCCTGTGAGAGTTCCTGGTACGGTCAAGGGACGCTTAACCGCCCGACTCATTACACTTATGCTAAGGCCTGGTGAGACTTCCCGAGTTCGTAGATCAGCCCAGAGAGGGGAAAGAAGTGGACCACCACTCCCAGACTTACTGAATCTTTTTCCTTTTGCCTTCTTCAGTGCTGCTACACTTCCAGCAGCTCAGCATCCTTTACTCATTTTGAGGTGCTAGCAATAAACTGGAATCTGTACCAGCCCGCAAAATTCCTGAATTATAAAGTGCCAGGTGATAGGCATAAAGCAAAGGAAGGACTGCGATTACCGAGAGAAAGAGGGCAGCATCCCTCTTTCTACAAATTGCTGGAAGAGTGTTTCTCAAATTGTAGGGCTTACAAAGTTAGTCTGTTCTTTGCTGCTTCTCCTCACCTGAGAGTGTTTTGAAGACTCCCAAGTGCTTGTAGGAAGCAAAGTATTCCCTTGCTGCAGACATATAATTAGCTATAATGACTGTAGTTATAAAGCTGGCAGGTAATAGTTTTTACGCTGATTATTTTTTCTCATTAGCATGCATAGATTTTATTTTTAGAATGATTTTAAGATTATTGTAATTCCTAATAATTTAATACAATTATGAGTTGGCATTGTCTTTTTAAGGTTGAGAATAACTGTTCAGCGATACACAAGTGCAATCTACTGTATTAAGTTGTTGTGCCCTGTGATGACAATGATAAATGGTGCATCAGAAAATATCTTCCAAGCGTAGGCTGTTGTTTCAGCAGCTGCGTTTTTTTTTTCTCAGGCGCTGAGTTAAAGTATTGTATGATGTCCAAACAGAAATTGTGTATATGGAGGAACACTTTAAGATTGTAACTCAAGGTTCGTGCAGGCTGCATGGTCACTGTAGGAAAGGGCCTAGTAAAAGTACGTGTAGAATTCAAGGACACATAGACAAACGTGGTGCTCTTTGTGCCTGTGTATTGCAATGACCACATAAATTACACTGATCACAGATGATTTCATAACAGAGGTAATACAATGCATGTGCACAAGGGGCAAATGTAATATACTAGCCCACCTAAAATTCTGTCACATCTGAGATGAGGACTTCTAACTTAATGTTAATCCTGCCTTAAAATAAAACTGAGAACCCCAACTTTAATTACGTGGGATCATATTGGGAGCAACTGTGTTAGCAGAGCTGTCCAGACCCGTGGAGAGGCCTTTGGCCCTCAGGCTGTTGGCAGACAGGGAACACAAGCAGGCAGTAGTGCGCCATGGGTGCTAGAGGGGAGTGTGAGATATGCTTTGCCAGCGTGGTGTCGGTTATTCATCCACCTACATGCAGGAGAAGAATGTAGTCTCAGGGCACAAAGATTTAATTATAGGCTGTCTTGCAGTTGTAGAACCATTATACCTTATGCCCCCGGCATCTTTGCAACCTCTCATCCTACCTTTTTTTCTCCTACATCAAAATGGTTATGAAAATAAATATTAACACTGTAAAGTAACTTGTGAAGTACTGGTTTTTTTGGTTTTGTTGAAATTTCTTCTTCAAAATCCCATTAAAGTCTGTTTGCCAACAGCAGCAAGAAAATGGAAGAGAAAAGGATACCAAGTAGGTACATATAGATTTGAAATGCAAGGATGATTTGGAATATATAGGATGTTACTTTTAGTCTAAGAAACATATAGTCTAAGAAACATCTTGGGGTCCTGAGGGAATTGGCAGGTGTAGTTGCTAAGCCATTCTCCATCATATTTGAAAAGTCATGGCAGTAAGGCAAAGTCCCCAGTGACCAGAGAAAAGGGAATATCACACCCAGACCCTGGGAACTACTGACCAGTCAGCCTTACCTCTGTGCCTGGTAAGATCATGGAGCAGATCCTCCTGGAAGTTATGTCAAAGCATATGGAAGGTGAGGAGGTGACTAGAGACAGCCAACATGGCTTCACCAAGGGCAAATCATACCTGATTAATCTAATGGCCTTCTATGATGGAGTGACTGCATCAGTGGACAAAGGAAGAGTAACTGGTGTCATCTACCTGAACTTCTGTAAATCCTTCAATATGGTCCCCCACAACATTCTTGCCTCTAAATGGGAGTGGTATGGATTTGATGTATGGACTATTAGATGGATAAGGAATTGGCTGGATGGCTGCATCCAAAGAGTTACAGTCAATGGATCAGTGTCCAAATGGAAATGAGTAACAAGTGGTGTCCCTCAGGGGTCTGTTTTAGGACCAACACTATTTAATATCTTCATTAATGACATAGATGGTGACATTGGGTGCACCTTCAGCAGTTTTGTGGATGACACCAAGCTGAGTGGTGCAACTGATAAAGTAGAGGGAAGGGATGCTATCCAGGGGACCTTGACAGGCTTGAGGAGTGGCCAAGTGCAAGGTCCTGCATGGGGCTTGGGGCAACCCCCAGTACCCATATAGACTGGGGGATGAATGAATTGGGAGCAGCCCTGTGGAGAGGGACTTGGGAATACTGGTGGATGAAAAGCTGGACATGAGCCGGCAACGTGTGTGCTCACAGCCCAGAAAGCCAACCGTATCCTGGGCTGCATCAAAAGGAGCGTGACCAGCAGCTTGAGGGAGGGAATTCTGCCCCTCTGCTCTGCTCTGGTGAGACCCCCCCTGCAGTACTGCCTCCAGATCTGGGGTCATCAGCAGGGAAAAGACACGGACCTGTTGGAGCGGGTCCAGAGGGGGGCCACGGAAATGATCAGAGGGATGTTGTGGCTGATAGATATTTGAGATTTTTCCCTTGTTCAGTGTATAGATTGTGTTTGTACTGAAGAACAAATAAGAGAACTTAAAGTGCCTGAAGGGAAACATGTGTAAAGGAAAACTGCATAATTTAAAACCAGCACTTTAAACCAAATAACCATCTAGATTAGAAGCCGAGAGTGACAATTACTCTGCCAAAGAACTTCTCTCAAAGTCATTAGAATTTGTATAAAAGTGGGTGTGTTATCCAAAGGGGTTTTTCCGTTTGTTCCTTTTAATTAGATGCTTTTGTATAAAAGATACATATCTTTCTAATGACTACAGTGATTAAATTCCTTAATGTTTCTCCCTAAGTACCCAAACAGCACAGTAAAAATACTGACATAGTAATATGCAGCTGAAGCATGCACTGAGCTGCATGTAAACCTCTCTTAGTGTTACCTTCAATGTCAGATTATAACTCATACTCTCTATAGT